CATGCTAAATGTTTACTTTTCTTGTAAAGGGTATGGATGCATAACTTTTGGTAATTTTCTTAAACTTTTGGGGTTTTAGTGTAATTATGCAAGGTAATTATTTTTCGTCTAAGGGACTATTTTGTAATTTAATTTGGAGGATATTTTCAAAAAGGAACTTTTTGCAATTTACGAAAAATGTGACAAGTGTCACATTCTCATGGTGCCACTTGTTGACATTTTGGTGGAACTACTTGGAAGCTTAATCTCTTAACACATGGAGGGTGGAAATTCACCCATTTGTTGGCCTAGGATTGGACCACTTGTTAGCTTGGATGAGTGACAAGTGTATGCTCCAAATTAAGTCTTGCAATTATTTTTGGGCCACTTTGGGATTATGGTTTTAAAGAAGAGTTTTTGTGCAATTGACCAAGACTTGTGTGTGTTGACTATGGTGTAGGATCAAATAGTGAGTGAAGGATTTCTATTTCCTCCACTCACACTTTATCATATTGTATCATCATCTTCCTCACCACAAAACCTAGCCACTATTAGAGAAGCTTGATGCTTAGGCTTTGAAAGTGATTTTTGAGGCTCTTCCACTCACCTTAGACCATAAAGTTTGGAATACTTTTTGTTCTCCTCATCCTCCTCTACATAACCCTTGAAAGGTTTGCCATTTTGTGTTGATTTGCCTTGGATTCTAGAGAGACACTTATCTAGTGAGGTAGGGAATGATTTATTATTATTATTTTTGATATGTATACCATGTTTTGTATGAAATCTAAGATTTAATTTAATTATTCATTTGTTAAAAATTAATTCACATGGTTGTATATGATGAAGAATTAATTAAGGACTTGATATTTGATTAGGCCTTGTCTTAATCTATGTAATATATTAATTTGAGAAATTTTGGAGTTGTTTTGAAATCTAGAGATTTATTTAAATTTTATGTAATTAAATTCTATTTAATTACTCCGTTGATGTAATTAAGTTTTGACTTGATATTTGTGATTATCATGATTGAATCTTTGTTATATATTAAATTGGAAGGATTTGAAGATGTCTTGAAATCTAGAAATTTGATTATTTTTATTTAATTAAATTCTATTCAACTATTCCAATGATATAATTAAATTTTTGAGTTGATATTAGTGATTATCTTGACATGTTGTTTAACATATATTAAATTTGGAATATTTGGATGAATGTTGAAATCTAGAGAATTTAATTATTTTTATTTAATTAAATTCTATTTAATTGCTCCATGGATTTAATTGTGTTTTGGAAGTTGTTTCTACGTTTAAATCATGAACTTGGACTTGTTGTATATTCACTTGGTTACATTTTGAGCATTTGATAACATAGTTGTTATATTTATATTCATGAGAATATGTTTTCCTTATTGAATATATTATTGTCTTGTGTAATGAGTTGCACATTTTGTATTTGACATCTTTCATGCTATAGTAGTTGTGGACTTAGAGAATGTATTGTATGTGTTTTCAAATTTGGTTGTGCGTAGTAAATAGTTGATTATCTTGTATATACGTGTTGATATATATGTTGTTGCACAACTTGTTGATTTTGGAAACTTGGGAATATCGTTATTTGACTAAGGCTAGGACATGGTTCTAGTACGAGGGATTGTCCCTCTACAAGTCTAGTCCGCACATAGGGAGGTTACCTGTGGGCTAGTAACCCTAAAGTAACTATGGTGTCGGTCTGATCCGACATGACGTTCAAGTATCCACTTTGTTTGATTTCGTTCTTCATTTCAAGTTGATAACTAGATGATATTGTAGCTTGTTATTCCTTATTTGATTTCCTATTTTAAGTTTCAAGATGTTTACTTTGAGAAATCATGCTTCATGCATTGTATTAGAAGTTCCAATGTTGGTTAAATTGCATTGATATTGTGATTCGTGCTTCATTGTTCTAATGTAGCCTAGGACGATTCCTTAGACTCATTTGGAACCTAGGCGTTAGGTGCTATGAACCCACTTTTGTTGTTTTTTTGTATTTTAGATTTCAAGTTGATGGCTTTGAGAATCTATATCTTGTTGTTTCGTTTAACATGCTTCTACGTTGTTTGAATTGTATATATGACATGATTTATGCTAGGAATGATTTAAGGTAGCTTAGGATGCTCCCTCAGTCTCACTTTAACATAGACGTTTGGTGGCATGATCCTTTTGAATTGTTTCAAAGTAAATGTAAAAATCTGTGAAGAAATCGAGTTTATGCATGCTCATTCCTTACGACTAAACTTGTTTACTCACCTCGAAGTTACTGGGGGTTTTGTTCAGGTACGAAGACTTGGTTCGTGATGTTCATCATTGCTTGGATGATTGTAGACTTGAAGGTTTTAATTCTTGTAAATGTTGGTTTGAAATGCCACTAATAGCCTTATTTGTCAAAATGTGTGTATTTGATTCCATTTACGTAATGTGTACATAAGTATACTCTATGTAATGTATTTGACTTGTATGTAATAAGGCCAAGGGCCAAAGACACTTATGTGATATGTATGCAAATTTTTAACTTCATTGTTGCTTATGGAAGTTAGGAGATTTCATGCATTGAAGGGTCATATTTTACATACAACATACCATGAGGCCATAGGCCATTGTAGTACATCTACTTTATTATATTACGTATGCTTGCATGTTCACTTTGGCACACAATACCCTTCTTGATGAAACAAAAACTTAAGGTTGCATTTTTTTGAGTTTTATCCCTATTCTGTTCCAGGGGCATTTCGGATATTTCACAATGTGTTTTTTTCATTTTAGCTTGCGTTGTCAGGTAGAAAACTCGATTTCAGAGGGGATTTCTTCTTTGTGTTTTTCCAGAAAATGTCATCTTGATTCTCAAAAACCCTTTTTTTTCTAAAAAATCCTTGCTGCCAAGTTTTTACTGTTTTTTAATACAAGTATACTTGGTACTATTCATCGACTTTTTTTTGAAAAGTGTGACGACCGATCTAAAACTTCCGGGGGTCTTGTGGGTGTATTTTAAGATTGTATTTTCAATTTAGGCAATTTAAAAACCTCCCAAAGCCCCATGTCCTTTCCTTGGGCAGCAGCTTGGAAGGATTTTTACCCTCTTGACCTGATTTTCTTGGGGGCATTTTGGGCATTTTACAATATATATATATATTTTTTGTTTCCGTCCACGCTGCCGGCAGAAAACTTGATTTTAGGAGTGGTTTCTACTTTGAGTTTTTCCAAAAAAGTCTGTTTAGATGCCCATTTTTACTCTCAGTTCCAGCAGTAGTGGGTCGACAGCATTGTAGCTATCATGACCCTCTTTTTGTTTTTAACCTTTCTCCCTCGTCCGGACTCCAAATTGAGTAAAAAAATTGTTCAACTTGACTATTTTTTTGTTGTCTTTCCAACGGTGTGCTCGGTTGCACCCAGATATTCCTAGATAATTACTAGTTTACCCTTTTTGCTTTGTATGTTCATTTTTCTTTGTTTTGCCGTTTCTCCTTTGTCCGAATTCCGAACCATGCGATTCTTGAGTCCATCTTGATTAGTTTTTCATTGTCTTTCCAGCGGTGTGCTTGGTGGCACCCGAATCAATAGTTTCTAAAATGACTATTTTGCCCCTAGGGGCCTTAATTGTTATTTTTTTGTGATCTTTTGTTTCCGCGTCAGTTCTCATTGAGTTCTACGACCTCATGGAAGGTCACTTTGACTTCTTAGAGGCTTATTTTTAGTTTTCACTTCCGCATTCGGATCCGTTATCGGGTCAATCTTCGGTTCATCACATGACGCACTAGCTTGAAAAACCAGGGCCGTCACATATCTTACCACTGTATATGGGTCATGAAGAATTTGCATGGAAGAGAGAGACTAAAACAGAGCAAGAAGATATGACGATTTTTTGTTTTATTTTGGTTAAGTAAAGAAATAAGGTGTGGATCATGTATTTCTTTGAAATTTGTATATGATTAATTTTTGTATAAAACCATGATTTGGAATTGGTTATATATATAATGTTATTGGCCATTGTAAGTTATTTTGATTATAATGCTATTTTTTATTTATTTACAGTTTACTTTTGTTAGGTCCTTGCAAGGCTATATTGTAGTAGTAGTATTAAAAAAACATAAAAATAAAAAATAAAAAAAAAGCCTCCCTAATTAGATAGGGGATGCCAGCACCGTTGTAAATAGTTTTTTTTTTTTTTTTTTTTTTCTACCACAGTCCAACATAGTGGTAGAAAACTCACTTTCTTTCACAGTGTAGAACCATGATAGAAAGTCATTAATTTACTACCACGGCCACTACCACTATAGTTCAAAACCGAAAGCGTTTTTCACCGTGCTAAAAAACTGTTTTTCTTGTAGTATAACTTTAACAAGAAGTACCCAACGACATTATCTCATTAATTGCACCATAAGATAGATGTCAATAAGCTTAATAAGATCAAGAAAAATAATCATAAGATGTATCCCAGGCCTAACTTTATCAGTTGATATCTACTCAACAATCTTAATGCTTTATGCTTACATTTTAACTAAAAAAAACAATCTAAGTGCTTTTCTAACATAATCAAATTGATGATAGGATAATAGTATAATATATATATTAAAAATAAATAAATAAATAAATAAACTCTCCTTCAGGGACTTATATGTTCGAAATATATGTATAATGAGGAATCCAAAAAAAGGTGATTTCTAGTTTGTCATCCAATAAAAAATGCTAACCAGTCCTCTTATATATTCGACAAACAGCAATCACTTCAATTAGTGGATTCTGACATTATGAAAATTGTCTTACAGCTCATGATATATAGTACGGAGTATATGCTTAGTGGGGAGAGAAATGATACATAACTTGGCCATTTTTTTAAAAGAAAAAAATCTTATTAGTTCAACTTCTGGGTAAGAGAATCCATGTCAAAACCCACTTTGACATCTGAAGATTGAAAAAAATGGCATATCTGATTGTTTAATTTTAAGTGCTAGCTAGCTACGTAGCTTCCCTACTTCTTGTTAAGGAAGCCAAATTAATTAAGATAGAGCAACATGAATTGTTCACTTGGCTTTCCAAGTTTTGTAGAGAGAAATAAGGCTTATATTGGAATTATCCTTTCACAATGTATGTATGCAGGCATGGCCTTGTTCCCCAAGGCTGCAATTGATAAAGGAATGAATTCTTATGTGTTTGTTGTTTACCGGCAAGTTATAGCCACGATTGTGTTAGCGCCATTCGCTTTTTTCCTTGAAAGGTTGCACAAACAATTCTAATAAACTCTACTGTGTGTATGTTATTTATGATATATTTCGTTAACTGCTTGTTTTTTTCTTCCTAATGCGCAGTAACAACTCAGCCCCTCTATCATACAACTTACTCTCTCAAATTTTCTTTGCTGCTTTAGTTGGGTATGCAACTCCCTTTCATTTCCATCTCATGATTTACATTGGGGCTACTTTAATGATTGTTTAGTGTGCTAATACAACAACGATTATTTTCACAATTTCAGATTCACCCTCTCTTTTAATCTCTTTGCTCTCGCTTTAAGATACACCACTGCAACATACGCTTCTGCCAGCAGAAACACAGTTCCAGCCATTACATTTATCTTGGCTGTTTTCTTAAGGTAAAGGCCAAAAAATAAAATAAATAAAATAAATATATATATATATATATATATATATATATAGGAGTGAAAAATAACATATCAATCATCAAATATTAAGGAAAAAAAATCAGCTTTTTATTTATTTAAGTTACAACTTAAAGTCTGCAAGATTTGAATATTTCAGGATGGAAATCGTTTCTGTAAGGCAATGCCATGGAAGAGCCAAAGTGTTGGGTACTATGATGGTTCTTTCTGGGGCTATAGTGTTAATACTTTATAAGGGACCACCTCTTTATTCAGGCACCCAAAAGGGAGCTCCAATCGCATCAATAAACCATATTTCCAGAGCAGATTGGATAAAAGGTGCTCTAATCATGCTCTCAAACAACATCATGTCGTCTATGTCGCTTATTATGCAGGTTTATCTCTTCTCCCTCTTTCATATTTCTATATATATATGCGTTTGTGCATTTCCGTGCACGTGAAGTTGTCACCTAAATTTTGTTTTGGTCCACTCGCATCCCGATTTCCCCAATTTTTTTTGTCTCGGTCATGGGTTTGGAATCTAATCTCTTTTATAACCCCGTATGTTAGGGGTGCAAATCCTCTATTGTGCGATTTCCATACTATCTCTTGCCGTGCGCGTTAAGTAGTCATGGTTTGACCACGTTTTACTCTACTTAATATACACCATAACCATTTATTAATAACATTTCACCACCATTTATAAGTATCTTTACCCTCAAAATAAGGTATGCAAATAATGCAGACTAAGTAATGTCACATACATACATAACTCATTTTACCACAATTTATAAGTAACATTTCACCACAATTTATAAGTATCTTCAACCTCAAAATAAGATATGCACATAATGCAAATTAAGTAATGTCACATACAAACGTAACTCAATTCAACATATCATTTATGTTACAATTTGAAATTCAAGTATTTTAAAAGCAGTTTAACATGTTAATTTAAAGAATTTAAACCAAAATTAAAATCCCTTGGATTAACTTTAGACAACAAACAAAACACTCGTTGTTTCCAAAAATAACGAAAAGAGCCACATATATATATATTTTTTTTTCTTCAAAATATTAAAAAAACATGCAGTTAGTTTTAAATTATTTAACATATCTTTGAATTTTTTTTAGCAAAGTTTAATATTAATTGTCACACTCACCACCTTCACCATCAAAAAAATGTATTCACATGGTGCTGAAAAACTAATAGTCACACATAAATCTAACTCAATTCAACATATTATTTATATATTTTTTAAGTTAAATTTTATCTTAAAAATAGAATATCCAAAAAAATAGTCACATATTAATTTAAAGAGGATTTTGAAGGGGATCATGAGGTATTTGACTGTCAGCAATCTTTACTTTTTAAGTGTTGATGTTACCCTCTTACAAATGGTGATGTTACTTTTTAAACTCCTGTGATATTATGTTTTAGACTTCTGTGATGTTACTTATAAATGGTGGTGAAATGTTACTTATAAATAGTGGTGTAATTGCCAAATACAGTCTTAGTGTCTATTAAGTGGAGTAAAAGGTGGCTAAACCAATACCACTTAATGCTCATAATAGGAGACATTATAGAAATCGCACAGTAGAGGATTTGCGCCCGTATGTTAGTATGTTGGGCACAAGTCATCTGTAGTGTGATTCCCATGCTGTGTCCTGCAGTGAGTGTTAAGTGGTCTATATTTGGCCACGTTTTACTTCAATTAATAGATACTAAGACTCTGTTTGACAATTACACCACCATTTATAAGTATCTTTACCCTCAAAATAAGGTATACACATAATGCAGACTAAGTAATGTCACATACAAACGTAACTCAATTCAACATATCATTTATGTTATAATTTGAAATTAAAGTATTTTAAAAAATACTTTAACATGTTAATTTAAAGAATTTAAACCAAAATTAAAATCATTTGTATTAACTTTAGACAACAAACAAAACACTTGTTGTTTCAAAAAATAATGAAAAGATAGCCACATCTTTTATTTATTTATTTTTTTCTTCCAAATATTAAAAAAAACATATACTTAGGTATAAATTATTTAACATATCTTTGAAAAAAATTTGGCAAAGTATAATATTAATTACCACACTCACGACCTTCATCATCAAAAGAAAAAATTTGGTTAAATTTAATATTAATTGCCACACTCACCACCTTCACCGTCAAAAAGGTATTCACATAGTACTGAAAAACTAATAGTCACACATAAATCTAACTCAATTCAACATATTATTTATATATTTTTTAAATTAAATTTTTTCATGAAAAATAGAGCATCTAAAAATATAGGTACATGTTAATTTAAAGGGGATTTTAAAGGGGATTATGTGGTATTTGGCTGTTAAAAACCTTTACTTTTTAAGTGATGATATTACCCTCTTATAAATGATGATGTTACTTTTTAGACAACTGTGATGTTATTTTTTAGACTCCTCTGATGTTACTTATAAATGGTGGTGAAATGTTATTTATAAATGGTGGTGTAATTACCAAACACTGTCTTAGTGTCTATTAATTGAAGCAAAATGTGGCCAAACCAAGGCCTCAAGTCAGTGGACAGTAGGGGACTGCAGGGATAATCACATTAGAGGATTTGTGTCTGTGTTTGTAGCGTGGGTACACGGAATCATAGAAAGCCCGAGAAAGAGAAAGACGAAGGATTGGGGTTTGAGAACTTTTAATCTCCAATTTTCTTTGCAAAGTGAAAACTTCTTACATATCTTCATTATTATTATTTCTCATTGACAAGAAATCACCATACTATCATAGTACACAATAGGACTCGTAACACTATTAGGACAGTTGCCCCTAATCGGACTCGAACCCTCACCTCCCACAATAAAAAATAAAAGATATACCACCGTACCACATCTTTAATTTGGTCCGTTTTTATCATAGAAGTGGTACATATTATGAACTATGTAAATCTATTTGTATTATATGTTGTATGGTTTACATAGATTTGACATGGCTAGTTGATCATGTATGTGATTTGTCAGTGTTTGTCATAATAATATAAAATAGATTGATGCAAGTTTTCAACATAGTTTTTATTTTTGCTTTTAGGGACACATTTGAAAACAAACATATCATCTTGGAAGCTTGGATGGGATGTGAATCTTATCTCCGTGGTTTATTGTGTAAGTTTTTCCATCCTTTATTGCAACAAATCACATCTCTAGATAGTGCACTTTAGTATTTGAATTTTTTTTTTTTCTAAACTACAAAATTTGTTAATGTTGCCTTTGCATAGAAGTTATTACAATTTTAAACAAACTAATATACTCCAATTTTAATTTCAAAATATGAATTCAGTGTTTCTAAATGCAACATAAGCATAATTCTTAATTATCATACAAATTGACTTTATATAATAATTAACACCGAGTTCATAAAATTAAAGTGATTCTATACCATACCCCATAGTTTTTTTCATGAGCAACACTTAATATTATGAGATAAAAAATTTTTATGTTGGCATATTTCAGTGTCAAAATAAGTCCAATCGAGTTGTAATTTTCTTGTTTAACTTTGAGTCTCGAGTACGGAAGCGGAATTGAAGTATCAGGGAACATGTCAACATACTCTGGTTTCGATGAGAACAACATATTAGACAAGGTAAGTATGTGAGGACACCTATTGTTCATCTTTGGTAAGTTTTTAAGGTTAGACACTTATGAGAGTGTTTGCAAAAATATTTTTTTCACAAAATGCACTGTCGTGCATGTACAAGATTTTTAAAATCCATTTTGAAAGGTTTAAAACTGCCAAAATGGACCAGTCGCATTTTCCCTGACCAGTCCAAGTTCCCTGGAACCATAATGGAAATTGCTTTCCAACTCCAACTTGCTTTCCTTTTCAATCAGATTTTTGTGGGACAATTGTGCACGAATTAAACTTGTTTTCCAACTTATTTTAGGTCTCTAAAAATCTATATAAGTACCTTTTCTCACCTAGGGTTTTCTACGGCTATTGAATACAATTTTCAGCAATCTTAGAGAGTTAATTTGTGAGATTTTTCTAAGAGTTTATTTTTCATATTGAAAGCATAGATACTATACACACAGGTTATTTAGGATGTTGTTCTCTATCTGGTCGTAGTCTGAATTATTGAAGATCCATTGATACTGTTTATAAAAGCAGAGCTTCTATTTATCTTCATCAATTAAGATTTGAAGAAAAGGAGGGAGAATCACACTTTGAAGGGGTAAAAGGATTCACGGAGTGTTGTTAAATTACCAACAATCCTTCTACAGGGATCAAGGGAGTAAGTCGAGAGCGTTTGGATGGGGAAGTTGCAAAGCTAGAGGCATTCAACAAGTTGGTTCTTGGTAGAGATAAGGAGTGTGAAACTAAGTTGAAGTCCATTGTATTTTGCTTCATATATAGTGGATTGTTTTGCTCAAAACCGTGTGACAGTCTCCGAGATTTTTATGATTGTTGGATGATTTTCTCCCACTAGGATTCCTCACTAAAAACTCAGTGTCACTCTAACTTTACTTTACTTTACTTGCATTTATTTTTGCCTTGGGTAAACGAGCAAGTTACACTTATTCACCCCCCTTTAAGTGTTCTTAAACTAAATTACACAACCTATTCCGCATTGTGCAACTCATAACTATACTTCTATAAACTTTTCTTTTCATTTTTATTTATTTTGTAATTTGGCACGAACTTTTCTTGTTAATATGGTTTTTTAATTTTAGGAACATGAATATGTAATAATAATTTCGTTTATACTCCTATAAATTTATAGTAAAAGAATTATTTGCTTTGGTATTTAATGTTAATTTGTTAGAAATCTATAGTTAAGATTTCCTTGTATAACATGTGTAATAGAGCTGCACAAAAAATTAGTGGAACCGAAAAAGCAAATTGAACCATACCAGATCAGTCAGTTCAACCCAGTTTTCTAATAGTTTGGTGTGTGTGGCATGGAGTCCTTTGGAACTAGACCCGACCGAGCCGAACTAAACCGTTATATTTATATGTTATAAAAATATAATATATATATATATATATATATATATTTATTTATTTATTTATATACACATTCCTAGCCCTAACTTCAGTAACATTTCACACACGTCATTGCCCTTCTCTCCCTATCTCTCTCGCTCTCTCTCTCTATCTCAATTTAGTCATCCCTCAGGACCCTTTCCTTGTCATCACGTGCACCAACATGCCGTCCAAATCTGATACCTAACAATGTATATATGTCCATGAAGCTTAGATACGCTTTTCCGTACCACAATCATAAATAATCGGGAATAAGCGACTGCCTTTTGAAGCGTTTTATATTGTGCGCTACCAATGAAGTTGGCAATTTAATTTCCTTCCTGAGTTATATTTGGATTGTGATTTGAAGTCCTTATTGAGCTTCTCCATTAAACTACACTATTTTTTTATTTGTTAAAGGGATAAACTTGTATATATAAGAAGAAGAATGTACAATGAGACCCCCAATTAAATGAGGGGAAACAAAAAAGAACAGCCAATAGCATGCTTCATCCAAATTCCAAACTACAACAACAAAATGGTAGGAATAAGCATTAAATTCTAGAAAAGACTCTCCCAGAGGTTAAACAACAGTTAAACAAAATGTAAGTCGCAATTCGACCTCCCTTAGCAGCAGCAAGTAAGTCCACAGCAGTCTTGAGATCCCCAGCCATATAGTTACTCATGATAGAAGTTAGTTGTGTCCAAATGTAGTGGAACAACCTTGATGGAAGAGGTTTTGCAATTGTTATAATGATGTGATCTTTCTCAAGTCTGAATAGTTCCTAAGTTTGATGGTTACAAGTCTTGCGCTAACACAATTCTTGATTTGGGCAATGATGCTGTTACCAGAAGATGATTGGTTTCTAAAGGCTCTAGTATTCCTTTCAATCCAAATGAAGTACACTGCTACAACCCATAAAAGTTTGTGAACTAAGAACTCTGATGAACTCCAATGTGAAAAATACCAGTGAATCAAATCATTCTAGTAGTTTGGCATAATGTAAAATCCTACCACAACTTGAATAAACCTCCAAATGTGAGAAGTGTATTCGCACTTGAAAAACAAATGATCAATGGATTCCCATTTTGCATTGCTATAACGGCCCACGTTTTACAAGCCTGGTGCATCAATGATGACTTGTAAGTTGACCCGATAACGGATCCAGAATAAAAAAGTGAAAAAGAAACAAGGTCTCTAGAGATGTACGTCATTCCTAAGATGCCTAAGTCACTTCCCATAAAACCACGGAACCCAAAAGAAAACAATATGCGAAAGTGAAGTTTTTAAAACGGGCAAGTACAACCTTATGAGTCAAATGGTCTTTTTAAATTAGAAGTTGGTGCCACCGTGCACACCATTAGAAAGACAATGAAAAATTAATAAAATTAGATTCAAGAATCGCGTCAGAGAGCGGATGAAGGAGATATGGAACCTCGAAGTTTTTAAATAAAAATAGAAAATTAACGCTCCTAGGGCAATCGATCCATCGCCAAAAATCGGCGATCGGTCGATCGCCATCTGCAGAAATGCACAAGATTTTCCAGATCTGCGAGAATTTTTTGGCACCAAAATAGACCTTTTTTGAAAAAAAAGTTGTGAAGAAAATCCCCTTAAAATGTGATTTTCTATATGACCATGTCAAAGCCAAATCTTATTTCTGAAAGAAAATTCCCATAATGCCCTTATGCACAAACTTTGTAAAAAAGACATTAAAATGCTTGAAATAGAAATCATACATTGCAAGCATAAAATGTTTTTGGCCCTTGGCCTCATTACATATATACCAAATAAGTCTTAGCTAGCGTATTTAAGTGCACTTTACATGCCCCAAATGAAAGATACAAGTTTTGACATATTAAACCAAAAGAAGGCAAAACATGTTAACACATGCTTGTAAGCAAAATACATCAAAAATACTCCAATCAACTAAGCAAACCTAGGGATGTTGTGCATCCCAAAACAAGGTCTCCTTTCCTGAAAAATATCCCAAACAATTAGGGTGAGTAAACAAATTACTCGTAGGAAGTAGTGCATACATATACCTTAAAGTTTCAAGTGTCATCCAAGTCCAATATAAGTCAATACAAGGGATCATTCCACCTAACATCTATATTACAAGGTGAAATAAGGGATCATCTCAAGCTACACAAGCAATTGAATGATAAAATACAATGCACAAGCATACAAGGCACAAGTATACTAAACGTTTGAAGCAAAATATAAACCATTCACTACAAGTGAACACGACAAGCTACAACTTCAAAAGTAATGTCAACTTGTAAACGAAAATGAAATCAAACAATGGAATACTTGGACACCTTCATGGATCAAACCATGTAATGCAGCTATTTTGGGTACTAACCCGCTAGGAACCACCTAAGTGCGCACTATATGGGAAGAACTCGTATGTTCTGCACTAGAGCCGTGCTCTAGCCAATTCAAGGTCGACGCCCCAAGTTTCTAAAATAACCAAGAAATGCATAACTTAAACACTTTAATAAAAATGCATTTAAACACCTTCCATGCACAACCATATATAGATTCACACAAGTCATGAACTATAGTCTCCAACTACCATGGCATTCAAAATATCGAATCTTCAATGTGCGATTCGTTACACATACAAGGTACATAAATATCGAATCTTCAATGTATGATTCATTACACCTACAATAATATCACACACAACTAAATCAATTTACCAAAGTAGTTTAAATACTAAATTAACAACAAGATAGTAATAAGCTTGCAAGGTAAACAATAATAGTAATCCAAAAGAATTTCCACATTACAACAACATGACAATCTAGAATTTAGTAATCTACTAAATTAATTAACATCTCTAAACAAGATATATAAACTATACATGCTTTAAATCATAAAACCTTAAGTCAAGCATATGTAATCTCAATTAATATGCAATTCAAAAATTCATAAGCATGTAATCAACATATATTAAACCCCAAAAACACTAAAACACTTAAAATATAAACATACAACAACTCACTACCTCACTAGAGAATAGAATCTCTAAAGTCCAAGGCAACTAAAGGTAAAATGAGAAAACGAGCAAGGGTGTTTTATAGGAGGATGAGGGGAAGTTTTTATCTTCTAAGGGTTAAGCCAAAAGGTGAGGGG